GATAACTTGAGAAGGCTTTGAGGGATTGTCTTGATACCTGGTAGGTGGGTAGGTCTTGATGAGACCTCAAAATGATTAGATTTTGGACCCCCTAGCGTCTTGTTATGGTACTGCAGCTGAACTTCCGGTTTTGATATGATCTAGACATGCTAGGGTGACCAAATTTGGATGGTAGATAGCTCTTGAGCTGGGGAAGAAGTGACGTGACTTTGGGTCCCCTAGAGGCTTTCTCTGGAACTGCAGGGCTATATGTTTGAAAATATTCAAAAGAGGATAACTCAAGAACCGGGTGACGGATAGTCGTGATTTTTGGTATGTAGGTAGCTTACGTGATGCTTGATATAATTATGCGACAATTATGCAAATATGGATGTAATTTGCATAATTTATGGTGAAATTCTATAAATCGGCTGTATTCCATGATAGGACCATTGAAGCTTGTGAAATTGGTAATTGAGGACGAGAGAAACACAGGCAGATATTGATTATGTAAATGAAGAACTTAATTTGCATAATTAATGAGAAACTTTATAAGTATGTAATAATAAGTGCCTGGAATTTTATACTAGTGCCATGTGATATTTGAAACTTAAGTGAAGGTAAACATCATTAAACATAATGTATTCAAATTAGGACCTCATTTGCATAATTTATGAGGAAAGGCTAGAATGGCATTGTTTGTTAATAAGACTGTCTTTTGGTTGAGAATATGCTAAAATGATGTAATTCATGAAAATGAGGATCCTATTTGTTAAATCAGGGGGAATAATCTATAATTTGTCAGTCATAAGGATTAACATCATTTGGCGAAGGTATGAGATCGGGGAACTCTAGTTGTTGATGTTTTTGTAGGTGTTTTATCAGCTTTTTTTTTTTGTACTGGTATCCTTCTTTATGCGGGCCAAATTTTGGATGGCAAGTGGTACATGCCTGACAAATGGGTACTGCCTGGCCAGTTTGATGCTGTCTTTGCAACCACCAAAAGATCTGCTCGGAGATTAGGCAAAAAGTCTAACAGTCAGACTGTACTATGTTTGAAGTGTGACTACGCCCATGTTGCGAAGTACACCTTTCGACCTGTTCAAATCTATATCATTGTTAGAAGCTCAGACACTGAAAGCCAGGGGATAACCTGATGCGCATGAAGCTGAGCTACGGGGTATCAGCCAGATTTGCTCAGACTTGATACCAGAGAAAGTGTTTCAATCACTGTGAAAGTAAAATCTATAAACTAGTACATCATGTACATGTAACTCATGAGCAGAAAAGCAGACCATCAAATTGATCAATGAAACTAAGTAATCAGAGTCATCAGATTTCACCAATATTGCTTTGCAACATGTCCCACAGACAAAGTCAGCAGCAGTGAAAATATTCGAATATAGTCTATTTTATTAATCACAGAAATACATACAAGCACACAGAATCAGACAAACAAACAAACAAACAGCTTCTCTCCCTTGGGATGAACTAAAAAAAGATTTCGAAGACAGGAGTGATTATTGACCAGCCTAGTTGGTCTTGCCTGTATCAGCTCAGGTTTAATGTCATGCAAACTACCTTTTATCTTTAAACCAGTAACTTGTGGGGTCTTATCAGACCAATTACTTGTAAGTACAGTAAGTCTCTCTTCAGGAAACCCAGAATCCCTGCTGGGCATTCTTGTATTCCCCAATAAGCAGGGATGAACTACAAGCACACTGACATAATCAAACCACAGAGGAGCTGTCACTAATTAAGTGCTCAGACTTCTGGCCTAACACAGAAGCTGTCAGACATTCTTAAGTGGGGTCAGCAGGAGGCCATCCTCATCATATGGACATAAACCAGAACACCCAGGGGCTGACTCTTAAATCACAGTCATGCAGGGATTTAAGCACCACACTTCCGCTGGACTTCTCAGGACATCTGGAAGTTCCAGTTTGGAGGCAAGATCAAACTGTTCTTTTGGTCTTACTCAATATCAATGTTTACACTTGTGTGATTCAACAATATTTTGGTGCAACTTACTGTAAATTCATTTAAGTTTGAGGGGACTTAATTTTGTTGTAGGGGAAATAGGCAGTAAAGGTGCAGTGCATTTCTTACAGAAAATCTGTACTGTACCTACTGTGATGATTTCACAGTAGAGGTCAAAAAAATTGCAAACATAAAACCACGAAGAGTTTTTCAAGATTTATGGTACAGTACATGCTCCTATCCTTACAAAGTTAGGTATTGTGGCATGCTACTTAGGCCGACTTTAGACTGACGACGGTATACGATCGCACGACAATCGTTGTGGGCGACGGCTGGCTTTAGACACATGACCAGGAAGTGTGACGGACACCCGCAGCGCAGGGGGACACGCCGCGCGCCAATTCAAAATGGCGAGAGAACCCCTTTTTTTCGGCATGCTGCAGAAGATTGTTTTTATTCTGATTTTAACTCGTTGTTCTGTGGATGAGACTCCTAAATTGTGCCCAGCAAAGAAGGGGTATGAGGCACATGTACCAAGCGGGGCAATACTCCGGGTTTGAACCCGGCGTTCGGTGCTGCCGTCGGCCTGGCTATGTTGGCCGGGAAATGTGGATCGGCGGATCGGTTCGTACCGGAGAAGTAGCGATTGGTGGCTGGGGATTGTACTAGACACGTATGACGATATAAAGTCTTTGGTTTGACGGCATTTAATGATACTGGCGATGTGCTTGGACATGAAATAACGCTTGCAGGCTTATTTGCATAAGGCCAATGACCTCCCACTTCCTTCGCCGGCGACGGTTCACTTTAGACGGTGGAAAATCCTCCTCGGACCCCCCGCTGAAGGATCGCACGATAGGGTCCGAGGTGGTAGTGACGACAATTCGAGGATTACCGTCGTGCGACTATTTTGATCGTCTTTAGACGGTTGTAAAATACCGTCGCCGGCAACATCTTGACGATAAACATTCGTACGACTATTTAACCGTCATCAGTCTAAAGTGACCCCTAGTTTAGCTCTTGAAAATTACTTCTGTTTGCAGGTCTAGGCTAATCTCCACACAGATATATCTTTTCCTACAAGAAAAAAACAGACCACCAAAGAAAAAACAATGGATCTGAAGTCCATTCTGAGATCAGGTCCAGACACCCCTGAAACTTACATACAAAT